GGGTAGGGGGTGGGAGATCGCCTCCTGTTGAGACCTGGCCAGTGACTCATGGCCCAGAAAGGCACAGAGTCACACTGGCTGATAGGGCCTTTGCAAGAACCTCTGGATTTGGCACCAGCAGGAACGGCTCCTTTATGAGCTGTTTCTGTGATGTTTCAACTTGTACCAAAATGGAAAGCATGAATGCGGCAACAGGCATGATGTCAGTGCTGAGTGACCCGACACACTGAATGCCTGCTCTCCCAGGGAGGGCTGGGGCTCAGAGGCAAGCCGCTGCTCTCCACAGGAAGGAAGGCTAAGTTATGTCTGCAACCCTCCTTTCTTGCTGGAGGGGTGGGGGGAGGGGAGCAGGAACAGAACCTCTTACTGCTGGGGGCCTTCAGAGCTTCCTGGCAGCCAGAGAGGTGACAGTGATGCAGGCTCCACCCTGGGAGCATCCTTTGAGGCCAGATATGGCAAACAAGGCTGGATCCCACCCTCTGGGACTGAGACACAGGGTGGTAGGTCTCAGTGTCACCAGTGTCCCTGCAGGGAAGATGTAGAAGCTGTTCCCAGAACTGCCCCACTCCCCTCCCTTCCCCAGAGCCTAATAGAGGGAGCAGCAGGGAGTGACCAGTGCAGACAGATCACAGCTGCTCGTTCGACTTATGGTTCACAGAGCTCCTAGGCTGGTCCCCAAGCCTCTGGATCCTTGCTGGACAGTACTGCCTGAGCTGCTCTTCTGCATATTGAACAGTTTGAGTAACAGAGCAACTGGGAAAGACTCTTCTCAGGGAGAAATTCCTCTCAGAGCCAGAGAGCCCAGGGTGCCCTGCCTTTCCAAATACTCAGGAGGCTCCTGGCAGGGTGGGCAGTGAATGGCTTCCTACAGGAAGCCACTTCCTTGTAACTTCTGCATCCTTCTCCCACCCAAACCACCTCGTGACCTACATACCATGGTGAGCCTTCCTATCCTTGCTGCCACCCAGGCCCCCACTGGGCTGGGATTCACAGATGTCCATGGAGGTCCCTGCCAACCCTCTCAGATGGAAGTATGGTTTTCCTTGTTGGCAGGAAGGGTGAGCTTGATAAAAGCTAGTGTCTGGCAGAGCTATCTACTTTGGAGTAGCCCTGGGAAGTACCCCCCAGCTCTACCTCTGGCTCCTGGGATGTGAGGCTGTGACTGGTGGCCTGCACATCTCCTGGCCATGTATCAGGTCAGGTTTATGGAGGTGTTGAACAGCAGAACCCTAGGAGAGGTTTCCTGTCACACTGGTAGAAAGACAGTCCCTTTGATTCTGGTGGGTAGCCAGCTTGGAGAGTGCCTAGGAGCCACAGAGGACCTCCTGGGCCCAGCCACTTAATGAGGAGGTACCACTGTGTGCAGCTAAGGAAGGCTCTACTAGTTCCAAGGCCAGGGAAGTCTGCCACAGGACTGTCCATGTGTACCCAGCCTGGGTGGACAGGTGGGCTGGGGGGGCCAGCCAACATCTCTCTCCCTGTCTAGTGGACAGCTTCCATCCCCCTAACATGGGGGTAGGGACCTTGGAATAGGGAGGAAGAGGCTGGGGATGGGCTCTTCCCTGCAAACTGCTGGAGATCCATGGGGGATGCAGAGAGGGAAGTCTTGCTCGGTTCAGAGAGCTCCCTCAACCAGTGTCCTCCTTGGGAGGCCTTGCATGCTGGACCTATCTGCCTGGACCTGAGCCTGAGCCTGGGAGGGGCTGAAAGAAGGCATGATCAAGGCTCCTCAGTGTCTGGAAGAGGCTGGATAGAAATAGTTGCGCCCATCTGGGCGATGAGTCACTGAGGGGCGTTTCAACTGTTTCTTGGAGAGATTCTATTTTAGGTGAGATGCCTGTGACACAGCCTGGGTAATGGGGGCTGGGAAAAGGAAGGTTCTGGTGATGAGTGCAGGAGTTTTAGCATGTGCCTTTGTTCAGCCCTGTCCAGAATCCAAGGGAAGATCACGCCAAAGTCCCAGGATAAGAAGCCTTACCTCCCAGTTCCCCCTTCTTAGGAAGTCTCACCTCAGGGCATGCTGCAACCCACAGGTACATGACAGAGATGGGACCTTGGGTGTGGGCTGAGCACCCACCACAGAACTGAGTTTGCGGCCACCAACCTGGGTCAGAGGCTGGGCCTTCCCTCAGAGGGATAATCCCCTCCCAGGGTACCTCTCAGAATGAGCAGAAATAGCCTCTCCTTGGGAACCCTCACTTTGATGAGAGTGAGCCTTTCCCTGCCAAGAATGGGCCTCTCTGAAGGGGTCTCTACCCACTAACTAAAATTGATTCCTCTGTGGCTTTGTCTGCCCAAATGTAGATAAAGCTGCCCTGGGTCTTAAAAAGCATCTGTGGGTTAACAGTTCCCAGCTGAGAGGGATGGCTTCACACCTTACTGCTCCAGCATCACTGTTCTTAGAGTTTCTAGAGCTGCGCTTGGTCTTTGGGGAGGGGGGTGCTCTGCTCCAAAGGGGTGACTTCTAGACCCCTGACTTGGCCTGTGTGAAGCTGAGTGGGCTTTGGAAGCAGGACTGCAGAAGGCACTAGGCTCCAGGCTGCCTAGGCTGTGGATCAGGACCTGGGCAGGGCAGGCAGGGCAGTCAGGGCCGATCTTGCCAGCAGTAACACTTCTTAGCCAGGTAACCACAAGAGAGCCTTTCACTAAATCATCTCAGACCTTGGTTTACTTTACTGTGAGGACAAAATGAGAACACCTGTAAACATGCCGTATGCGGTGTGTGGCACAAGGGGTGCTCACCAAAGTGCAGCATTCCCCACCCCCTGACCTGAATGCTGCTCTTGGGCTGCTGGGCAGGACACCTGAGCCTAGGCTCAACTGACAAGTTAACGCTTAGCAGCAGCAGCAGTACAACTCTGAGGCCTCATGGCAGAGGGCAGGGCTGGAAGCACCACTGAGGGTGAACAGAAGGGGCCTTCTGCACCAGGGACAAGACTGGACCTTTCCCTGGGTCACCAGGGTGCATGCAGGACCTCTAACTGCAACCACAGACAGGGGAATAGCCTTGGCCTCCAGCCTTGGCTCTGGCTGAGGAGGAAGAGCCTCCTCATCGAGGCCCCAAATCTCACGGCTCCAGTCTTCTGGAAGCTGTGCTCTGTCTTATTAAACCATCAGGATGAATCCCACAGACAAGCCTCTCTGGGATGAGTCCTGCTCTGTGCCACGTGCTGTGTGCAGCCCTGAGACCGCCATCAACAAGGGCTCACAGGCTGATTGGGAGACACCCAGTGAACAGATTAGTATATACTTGGGAAAGAATAAGCACTGTTAAGACAATAAGCTGGGTGATTTGATACAGAGAACCTGGAGGGTGTTTTAGATTGTGTTGCTGGAGGAGGCCTTGATGGGGAAATGATACCTGATCTGAGATGTACACAACAAGCTGGGCCAAGGGGCAGAGGGAATAGTGGGTGTGAAGGCCCTGGTGCAGAAATGAGCTCAGAGGACCACTTGGCAGCACAAGAGGCACAGTGTGTCTGGAGCGAGACAGCCAAATGGAGATGGCAGGAAAAGAGGCCAGAGAAAGGGGTAGGTTGGGGTGGATCAGAAGCTGTGGTAAAGAGTTCCTGTGGTGTGATGGGAATCCACTTAGGGGAATTTGAGCCCATGAGTGATATGCTCTGATTTACGTGTGGATTTTCTGGAGAAAAAAAATATTACTGGCTCATGTAACTGGAAGTTCAAGGGTAGACTTAAAGCATAGCTAAATCCAGGGAATTAAATGAAGTCGTCAGTTCAGCTCTTCTGTCCTTTTCTTGGCTCCACCTCCAGCTGTCTATTGACTTCATTCTCAGCATCCCTCTGCATGTTGGGGAAGAAGGCTGTGGACCGCTCCAAGGTGGCATCCTTCTGACTAGTGATCCAAAAAGAAAAAAGGCCCTTTCTTTCTTGTTGTTCATTTACCAAATAACATGGAAGGCTCTAACTGGCCCTGTTTGCAAGTTCACATGCCCATCCCTGCACAGAGCTAATGACAGAGAGAAACTACATGTTTATCACATGAATAGCAACATGTGTCCTGTTTGCTCTGAAAGCATGAATTATCCCCTTTTCTTTAAAAATCTTTTTTCCTTAAGGAAGAAAAAGGCTTATTTGGTTCTGCTTGTCTCAGTCACATCACATTACCCTGCACTCACTCACTTGCTGTCTAGATTTTTCATTATACATCTCGTCTCCTCAGCTAGACTCTGAGCTCCTCCAGGATAGGAACCATGGTCTTTTATTCTCTATGCCTCCCTCCCCAACCTATTACTCTTATTTATTTGTTCTGCAAGTTTTTATTGAATACTTAAGGTATATCAGGCACTGCTCTAGGGCTATGCTTTCCCTCCTTATTTATGTTTTGAAAGATCACTCTGGCTGCTGTGTGGAAATGGCGTGAGGGGGGAAGCAGGGGAAAGAGAGTGACCAGTTGGAGACTAAGGGGGTCATCCAGCCAGGAGGCTGGTAGCAAGAATTGGTGAGGTGGGACATGGAGATGGAATAACTTAACAGATCTGAGGTACAGACATTGGGGAGGACTCTCAAGCAGGAGGGCCTGGCAGGCACTGGGTTGGTGGTTGGGAAGGGGGTTGGGGAAGTGGTGCTACCTCAGCTCTGCCTTTCAGCCCCGCCCCCTGGCAGCCCAGAAACACCTGAGCAGGAGTTGGTGCTCCTGCCTGTGCTGGGAGCCAACCCTGGCTGCTGTGGGGCCTGCACTGACCTGGGTCATGAGCACCACCAGTACTGGCCACCCTGCTGACTCTGATGCTTCTCTCCTCAGGTGAAGGAGTGGCTCTGTCTGAACTGTCAGATGCAGAGGGCTCTGGGAATGGACATGACCACTGCGCCTCGCTCCAAGAGCCAGCAGCAGCTGCACTCCCCAGCCCTGTCTCCTGCCCACTCCCCAGCCAAACAGCCCCTGGGGAAGCCGGAGCAAGAGAGATCTCGGGGCCCAGGGGGACCACAGCCTGGCCCCCTCCAGGCTGAGACAGCCAGGGCCACCTCAGTGCCGGGGCCTGTCCAAACAGCTACCCCTCCAGAGATGGGGAGGGTGTCGCCTCAGCCCCCTCTCCCCACAAAGCCTTGCACAGCTGAGCCCAGGCCACCTGCAGGAGAGGCCCCAGCCAAAAGTGCCACTGCAGTGCCCTCTGGGCTTGGTGCTGCTGAGCAGACCCAGGAAGGCCTCACCGGGAAGCTCTTCGGCCTCGGTGCATCACTGCTGACCCAGGCGAGCACCCTCATGTCTGTGCAGCCTGAGGCAGAGCCCCAGAGCCAGCCTGCCCCCAGCAAGGGGCCGCCCAAGATCATCTTCAGTGATGCAAGTAAGGAGGCTGGCCCAAAACCCCCTGGCTCGGGGCCTGTGCCTGGGCCAACACCTGGAGCCAAAACTGAGCCTGAGGCTAGAAAAGGTCCTGGATCAGTGCCTGGACCCCTGGCAAAAACTGGAGGAACAACCAGTCCAAAGCATGGCAGAGCAGAACATCAGGCAGCATCCAAAGCTGCTGCCAAGCCAAAGACCATGCCGAAGGAAAGGGCCACCTGCCCACTGTGCCAAGCTGAGCTCAATGTGGGCAGCAAGGGCCCAGCCAACTATAACACCTGCACCACCTGCAAGCTCCAGGTGTGCAACCTGTGTGGCTTCAACCCAACGCCTCACCTGATGGAGGTAAGAGAGAATGCTCCCGTGAGCCTGTTGAGGGCCCAGGGCCTGGGGTAGTAAGGGGCATGGGAGTCAGAAAGGACTGCAGACTCCTGGGTCTGCAGCAGTTGTGGGGCTGCCCCTACACAGCTAATGCTGCAGACAGGCTGCACTCCTTTTGCTCAGACAACTGACTTGCACAGTGGGTGAGGCTAATGCCTCTGACTGGCTGACCAGTACCATGAACCTGGTCCCAGAGGTAGCCAGGCTCAGGAGGCCCTGAGCTGGCCTCCCCATTTCAAGCTACCTTGAGCATGGCCCTGACGAAAGATGCCAACCTCCCCTGCTCAGGTAGAACCTGAAGTCCCACCCTGCCCTCTATCTGTGACCCTCATGGGGAATGGGGTTAAAGAGCCATGGGGCACAGGGCCCCGCACCTGGGGGGGCAGGAGGCTTTCTCACAGTGGGGGGCAGGTCATGTTCCATTGCCCAGGCTGCAGCCCAGCCAGGTGGTGTCCATGACCTCAGAGCTCATGGGTATTGATGTCTACTTGTCAAAGCCACAGCCTTTGGTCCACATATTTTCCCTTGGGTTGCTTGTGGAGATGCTTACAGATGTTCTTCTTACTCATAAGAGAGTTTGAGGCAGAGCTGGGGTTGGAGCCAGTCTCTCTGCAGTCCCTGCTCCAGAGAGGCACACTGGCACTGTGAAGAACCAAGTGAAAGGGAGCAGGAGTCCCAGTGTTAGGCCCAGTGTTCTCTCGAAGCTTGGAGTCCAGCCTGGGAGGCTCAGAAGGATAGAGATACCCTGGCAGACCTGGACCTTCTAAGGGAGAGGAGGCTACTACTGCTCCTCTCCAAACCCCCTTATCTACTCTCCCCTGCCCAGGGCCACCCATGTAAAACCCACCATGGCTGCCATGGGCATAGCTGGGTATGTCGCCTTCCTTAAGTGCGCTTGGGGTCTGGGATTGGCACATCTTTGCAGGTAAATGTGTTTCCCAGCTGTGTCATGTCGGGAAATGGTCAAGCCAGGGCACCTGCCTCCTGTACATGGGCAGGCAACTAAGTCCTTTGGGATCTTGGGCTGGGCCATGAATGGCTGATGGTGGGGCAGGGGTGTGTGGAGTTCATGGTGTTACCATGATCTCTGTGGCACCTTATTCTGCCTCCCCTTGGACCAGGCCACCATGGGAGCCCCCACTGGAGCCTCCCAGTATGACTAGGAAGACTGTTTTGGCTGCTACAGGCCATACTTTCCAACATTTAGGGAGGGGAAACCCTGAGCAAGTAACCTCCTCATGTAACACCATGTGTCCCTCCTGGCCCCACACTAACTTCCTTGAGCTCTAGGGCCAGTGGCTCACTAGAGGATAGCTTGCCTGGCCGGCAGGGGGAGGGGGTATACCAAGGGGTCTCCACGGGGCCAGGGGAGTACCAGCTGGCTGCTCTGCCCACAGACCTCCAGGCACAATCTCACTGTCAGTCAGGTGTGGTGCCCTGACACTGAGGGACTGTGAGCCTAGGGAACTGGTAAGCTGGTCTGGCCCAGAGGACCCTTGTCCCCAAGAGACCTCCCAGCCCACATTTCCTCATTAAGCAGGATGTGCATAGAGGGGAGGGAAAACTTTCTTTGTCTGGGAGCATGAACATTTCTGACAGCTCATTTTGGCAGCCCCTGGGCCAGGCCACAGAAAATGCTGATTAGGCCCAAACAGAAGTGTTTCAGTCACATGTCTACTCTAGATGAGGCATCTGGATTCTGATCTAGGCCTCTCATTAGCTGTTTGGTTCTGGCTTTCCTGGACCTCAGAGCTTCTGCCTCTTAATGGCCAGCATTCCTCCTGCCCCAGCCCCACCATGTCCTGCAGTCTCCAGGTTCTGCCCCACTGCCACCTTCTTGGCCAGGACTACCCTTGCTCTACAGGGTCTGATGGGTTCCATGAGCCTGAGAGCAAGGCCTTTGGGCTTTCTTGTCCTAGCTCCTCCCCAACCCAGGTCCTCTGCTTCCCTGCCTGCTGCAGTCAGAGGGTGGCGCTGTGTCTCTGACCCCTTTCTCCTCATAGCTCTCCCTGTCAGTGCTGCTGTCTGCAGCGGGCCTATGTCTGCTCTGGGGAAGGTGTGCACAGGCAGCCAAGATGCCCCTTCCCATGGTTCCCACCATGGAGGACACATCACCATCCACCATCAGAGATGCAAGTCAGCAGCCCAGCCTCATCCTCAACTCCTTCTCTCTCATCTCAGCATCCATTCCATGGACCTTGCAAGCCCTGCCAGCTCTGCCTCCCCACGGTCACAAGAATCTGGCTTCTCCTCTCCATCCTGTGGCTATAGCCCGGGTCCTCCCTCCTTGTCCTTAACCAGGGCGTGGGCTGTTTTGAGCTCACCTCAGCAAATGGCCACCTAGCGTTCTGAGCACTTTTGTGCTTCTCTGTGACCTACTTTGTGTGTTCTTGATTAGAGGCTTCTGATCAAGGCTTCATCCTGCCTGGGGAGCAAGGTGGCAGGGCCAGCAGGTCCTTCTCAGATCCTTCTCCAAGTCCTAGGGGTAGATCTTCTGAGGCTGTCTCTCCCTGTACCTTTCTTGGCCAAGGCCAGCCTGCCAGACTCAGAATGACTGTGCTGTGTCTCTGTGCACAGTGTGAGGCAGAGAACCCAGTGTCTGCATGCAGGCTGGGGGCCTAAGGGAGGGACTGACCAGGGGAGCCACACTCACAGCTCCCCAGGGGCCTGATGGAACTGCTGGGGCTCCACCTGAGGCCAGAGCCAACCATCTGGACCAACAGGTTGGGAATTTTCCTCAACATCTCTGAGCTATAAAAATCCTTTTCCTTCTTTCTAGATAGGGAGTCCAGAGCATACAATAGAGGAGGCAATAAAATTGTATCCCTTTTCCCTTTGAAACTTCCTCTGAAAAAATAACCATAGTGCTATTTAATGAGTCATTTCATAATTAAGAGTTGTTGATTCTAATTTTTTTTTTTTACCTATTATCTTTTTGAAGGATAATAGTACCCTCTGGCGTAATTTTTAATTGACTTTCAGTTCAAAATAGTCTGTGAAGAAATTTCTGGAATTGGAATTGTTCTAGTAAATATTGCTACCTATTATCTTTTTGAAGGATAATAGTACCCTCTGGCGTAATTTTTAATTGAGTTTCAGTTCAAAATAGTCTGTGAAGAAATTTCTGGAATTGGAATTGTTCTAGTAAATATTGCCAGTTTCTTATCTTATTTTAACTGCCAAAATTCCAGCTGTGCCCTTGAGAAGTTGGGCCTCGCTGGGCAAAGGGCCTGGCACCTGTGATATGTGGGGCTGGGCTGGGCTTATCGGGGCAGAGGCTGTAGTGGGGGCATCAGGCGAGAGGCTGCCTCTGCAGGTGGTGATCTGAGGGAGCTCTGTCTCCTATGTGTGGAATGGGGGTGATAATACTGTCTCTTAGGTTTCCGTGAGAACTAGGGGAGATGGTGTACCTCAGATGCTTACGCATGGCCTGACACAGTCAGCCCTTGAGCTAGGAGATTGGAACCAGAGTATCCTAGAAGAGAGTCTCTGTGTGGGGAAGGTGGAGTCCCCGCAAGTCACTGGCTATCTGGGTATGAATGGGCCCTGTGTCCCCTGCAAGCTCTTGGTTTCATGAGGGACACCCCCAGGAAATATATTTGGTGCTGGAGCATGAGGGGAGCACAGCCCAGCCGCAAGGGATTCCTCTTATGGGAGGCAGAGAGCCAAAAAGCAGGAGCTTAGGGGTGTGCAGGTACAGGAGGGGCAAGGTCAAAGTCAGGAGAGGAACAGCAACACCAGTGATGGCCGTCTCTGTGGCCAAGTGTACAAGTCTTGGGCCTTCTACCTCTGGGCATCCTTTTCCCTGGAGTTCTCATTCACTGCCTCCTGGTCTGGCAGTGGAGCTGAGGGTATGTAGGGCCAGGCAGCTGGCCATAGGGTGTTGATTGGGATGGTGTCACCATAACCAGACTGGCACACAGGCCAGCTTCACAATAAAGAGATTGTGTGGACTACAGGCTCATTCAGACAATGGCAAACAATGCAGGGAAGATGCCTGGCATCCAGCCCACTCCACTGGGCTCCCCTAGCCCATGAGACACATGGGCCAGTGGTCCCAGAAGGCAGCAGTTCTCACACTCCTGTGGAGCACTCCTCCAACTCTCTCACTTTCCCTTCCTCATTCTAAATAGTGATACCCTGAACCACCGAGCTCCATCAGATGATGTGCAGACCTGCGTTTCTCACCTTTAAGTAATCATTGTCCTTGGGGAATTTGTACCTTCCTGCCCCCAAAAAGGAACGGGACAGAGAGAGGCAAGGCAGAAGTGGTCATCAGAACCTCCACATTGTCCATCCCCTGCCCACTTGCCAAAGAGGCCAAGCAAAGAGGAAAGCAGGCAGCAGTTCCCCCAGGACTGAGACTGGCTTGGGCTGGGTGAGGGAGAGTATGAGAGAGAATGTAGTGAATGAATGAATGAATGAATGAATGAATGAGAGAACAAACATTGAAGCGGGAGAATGAGTGAGTGAACAAGTGAGTGGAAGAACAAGAGAATGAATGATCGGGACAGAGGTGGGGTACACACTGGGGTGGGGGGAGATGAGAGTAGAGTGAATAAAGTAATTAGGACCTCAGCAGCCGTGTTCCAGCGCCCAGGCACAGAAATTCTACATGGCCTACCTTCCACCCCTTTCCCATTCCCCAGAAGATGTGGGCCTGGGCCAGATCTCCCCTGTCTCCACCCCTACCAGCCCCAATGCCCTGTATCCTTCTACCCCAACCCCAGAGGCCTGGGAAGGGCCTCCAGCAGCCAGGTCAAGTGTTTATTTTTAGCTCTTACTTCCCAAGCCTCCTCCT